GGGGGAGCTACCCTATCTCCCGTACCTCCTCATCCTCCATACCCCTATTCTATTCCTATTCATCGCGGCTGGTGGTGGATATTAACACGCCATTATGCCGCCCGAGACTGTGTTGTTTGGCGCTGGGGGGACAACATGGCGTCCCTTCAACAATCACCAACAACTCTTTCACCACTGGCGAAAACCACCATAGCACCAGCCCCACAAGCTCCAGAGCCTCCCCCCCCCCCCCCTCTACCTCAACCGCTGGCCGTGGCACAGCGCAGCCTTCCTCTCCCCCTCTTTCCCTCCACGAACCGAGTGCATCCAATATCCACTATTTCCATGCGGTCCGGACAAGAGGAATACGTAGAATTCAAGCGTTGCCGCGGGCTGACCCCAGTTTCTCGGAAAGGAGCACCAGACTTAGTCACCAAACTCTACCGTATTTATTTCGCCGTCGTCACACATATGTCCCATGACACGCATGGTGCTGCCGCGATATGTGTTCGCATTTGGAAAATAAAAATGGAGTGTGCCGGGTTTGCCGAAGCTGTACTAATAGAAAACAGCATTTCAGAATAAGGTTGGGTGGGATTGACTTGGGGGGGGGGGGTCGCATCAGATTGCATCTCGCCATAAAATCCTCACCAAAAAAGGACGTCATCTGCCCTCTCACTGGGTGTCCCCCACTGCCTCGCACCCCCTAAATCCGACCCTCCAGCCGGCAGTTATCGAGTCGCCCCATGCCGGAAGAACCCAAGTCCAGTCCGGCTGTCCCTACCGACGACCCCATTGCCACACCCATCTTTCACATTCACAATTTTTCTTCGTTGTGTTTTCCCCACTCCCTTGTCTGATGTAGCGGAGAAGTCACCCCCAAAGCCGCCCCGCTCTCTCTTTCTCTCTCTCTCCTCCACCCAAACAGACTAACCGCCTCTCTCAGATTGCGTGCTCGCGGCCATATAACATCGACGGCGACATTTGTGCGCCGTGCGGCGTGGCGAGCCTAAGGGCCTTGCTTGGGTCTCTATAGAGACTCGGAGCCTCATCGCAGTGCTACGGAGGGAAGCTTTTCTGATTCAGCCGGGCATCATCATCCTCACACATCGCGGGGCAAACCCACCGCCAGGGGAAGCACCGCCTCCACCAAAGTGAGGTACGCCACAGCGAGCGGTATGGGGTTGTGCAGGGGAGGGGGTGGGATGATGGTGCCGAGCACTAGTGGTGGTGGAGGGG